GAGCCCCAGACCCCTCCCGCACTGTAGAGGGAAGGTGCCAACCCAGGTGGGTCAGAGCCAAAGGGATCTGGGAGGGTCCTGGGTTCAGATCCTGCCCTGAGATCCCAGCTCTGGGTGTGACCTGGGGGAGGCACATTCGCTCCTCCACCTCCCCAGCTAGGACATCGGGTGACAAAACCAGAGCCCAACGGCAACCCCGGCAGTCGTGTGTCAGACGAGGTGCAAACGGACAAAGGGCACCTGGCACAGACCTGCTGGAGATGCCTGTTGTGCTGTAGCCTTGGGATAACCTTTGCCTTCCTCCCATGGAGCCCAGCTGAGGTTCTCCCAGTGGCCCTGGAGACAGGGCTCCCTCCCCTCCTGCCTGAGATCTCTGGTGCGGTGCCAGCTCTCTGCCGCAGGGCCTGGTGGAAGTGTGAGGAGTCTTGGTTGGGTCTCACACAGCCCTGATCACATCTCCCTTCCCTTGTGTCTTCCAGATGAATTTGCCATTGCTGAGTACAGCGCCCCCTGCAGCAAAGGTAGCGTATGAAGAGACGACTGTGAGGTTTTCAGACTGCTCAGGGCTGCTCAGTTAGAACAGTGCTGAAACCCAGCCTGAGTCTCCTCAGCCTGTCTGAAGGGTTGTAAAAGTTGCTGTTCTCTTTTGCCCCATGTCCTGGGGTGGTCTGCCAGCACCCCTAAGTGCTCAGGGGAGAAGGGAACACCAACTCCCCCGCATTGTCAAGTTCCAGATTCAGGCCTTGAGTCTGAGGCAGCAGGCTTGGTTAGTCCCAAGATTACGTTCTCCCCCTCAGTCAAAACAAGTCTCTGCTTCTTTCTGTGTCTGTTGCTGGGACAGAGCAAGAGCAAGTCCTTCCAAAACCCAAGCTTGGGATCCCTCTTCTCATCAGGGCTTTTTTTAAACAGGCTGCAAAGCAAAACAGATTGATGAAAAACCATCTTCCAGGGTTGGGGTGACTCAACACTGCTGGGAAAGGGGTCGGGGCTGAAGCCCTGAATGTTCTAGGGATGCGTCCGGCCACTGTGGTAGAGAAGCCATAGTCTGGTCAGGGCAGTGTCTCTGCAGCTCCAGAATGAGGTGACCTACAAGAGGGAAAGCTTCCCCTCCATGAGTCATTGATTCCTCTGTAACTCTCTCACATTCTCTTTTCCCCATCATAGCCAATGTTGAGCAGGAAAATGCGTGAGTGATGGAGCTGTATTCTGGGCCCTGCTGAATCCTCTCTGCTCATCTCTGCATGCAGCAATTCCCCCAGGCGAAGTGGTTTGATATAGTGGTGAGGAAAACCCCTCAGCACCATATAATTAATGTTATAAATAAATTGTCATGATTCTGATCAGATGCTTGTGGCCTCTTTCCTGGTTACTAAGGCTTATCCCTTCTCCCCTGTTGGGATCAGATTGCAGGATAGTCTCAACCTTAAAACAGATCCAGAGCCGTTCCCAGCCATCGGTGCCAAGGAGGGGTTGGCAGGACATCAGAAGTGACTGGAGACAGAGGGTCTCTCTGGGAACAGCCCTGGTGCCTGTGATCTGTGAAGATCTGTGCATCACATGGGCCTGTTTAGTTGTGCAGGCAGGGAACAGACCCTTCCCTGATGGCACAATCCTGAGGAAGTTCTGAGGTTTCCTATCCTGTTTCCTGCACTGGGGATGATCTTGGCCTAAGCTTCAGTTGCAGGGCCAAACTCTTCCCTCA